AGTCACACCTGGTACGCAGTGGAAGACTTGCGTTACACACCCCAATCCCAGTAGTGATTTAATTGCTTCCATACACCTGGTTTAGCCTATGGGCACCCGGGTTTGCTCTGAAACCCAGCTCCTGCCCCCCCCCCCCCGTAGTAGGGTCGTATTGTCAGAGCAGGTAGATTGGTTTTATATAACTTATTTATTGACTGATGGTACAAATGAGAGTTCCACGATGACTGACTAGCGTGGGGTATCGGCAGATACGAGGAAAACTGCTGTTGTCGCTAGGTGTCGTTGGTTACAGGGAATGTCTGCCGGCTACCAACTTATGAATACAACCCCCCCCCCCCCCTCATTATTTTATTTTTATTAAACTGGAAATGAAATGAAAGAAATGGTGAAAAGTCAAGAGCCAATCTGGAATGCGTACATTTTGTGCTAATGCTGGACCGCATTCACGCGTCGCGTGAGTGGCCTGCTTGTATAAACAAATTAAAGCGCGGAGTCTATGGGACTAGAACGACTAAAACGCTTTCATTCAGATAGAGGAAGAGTATAAGCGAAAACAAGTTCAAAATTGTGTCTTTACTTTTAAGCTCACAGATGAGATTGATGCAACGGTATTGTGCAATCCACATTTAAGCAGCACATGATTGAGATATCCATGAGAGAGCATTGAAGTTCGTGTCAGGTAAGCGAAAGTCCTGGAAAAAAGCTGGTCAAGGCAAGCGAGGGAGATTCAGTTTATCAACTTCACGACGCAACTTTTCGCGAGGAGTCCCAGTCATACCGGGGAATTCCAAGTGGATTCCACGTCGAACCGACCCAGCGCAAAGTAGCCTGACATTCCGATTTTTAGGATCAAATTTCATTCAGTATGACCCGAAAACACCATAAACCACTTGCATAAGTTTGGGAAAAATCTGGTTAAAATACCTCAAAAATTTGTGTTTTTGCTTTTCCAGTTCTCGAGAAGAGGGTAGTCACGGGTACATCAAAATGACGTCATTTAGTCACCATTTAGTCACTATTTTGGCTTGAGAGATGTCATTAGAGACGTCATTGACATAAAAATGACTTTAAAGGGACCTACCTGTTCTCCTTAGGTTTTATCCAGAATTTTAGAATCAACGACACACATCTTTTGGACAGTGAAGTAAAGGTATTCCTGAATCAGGTTTTGATGCTGATCAAAATGAGCTATAGTATGAAAATTTTGACACAAAATTAGTTGCCCAAATCCGGGAAGTATATGTAAAAACACACAAATTACTGACTTGCCAAAATACATCGTTCGAGAAAACTTATCCCACATGATTTAAAGCTTAACTGTTCTTATCATTACCTTCAAGCCCAGATTTTGACCGAAGGTTTCGTTTGGGATGACAAACCCTAACCATAACGCCTGCAACCCACCGGTTAGGCCAACCCGCCAAGCAGCTGCGTCGAGCCGGCGGCCGGTTCCGACGAGGGAGCGAGATTCGTCCATATGAAAATACAGGACGTTTCATTTGCCCTGAAGTATTATTGTGCGAATACGGTAGGTACTTTGGAGAACATGAACGCGGGAACGCAGTGAAACCGATGAACACGCCATAAGAGCTAATGGCTCCCGTTCGTTCACTGCAGCCGCTCGTGCTCGTTCTCTCACTTGGATCGGATCCCACCCAAGAAGCCCCCAGTCAAAGCGGAAACAGCAGCAGCGCTCGCGGCGCTCGCGTGGACCTACCATCCTGCCTCGTACTTCGTCTCTTTCGGCTCGATGAGAATGTTCCATTTCTGTTTTGGTTTGAGATTTATCGCCAAGCAGAAGAAAGGCTTACTTACATTTCTAATTCCGGCAAATGAATGTTTGTTCAGTGTCATAAAAATAATTATGGGAAAGGGGTTGGTGTATCGAAATCGTTCTAATAAACTGACATCGATTCAGAAACTATTATTCTAGTTATCCCAGAACATTTGTCTGGCTGCCAAAAGTTTTGTATACCATACAGGTTATGTTATTATTATGGAGGGTTTTAATGTAATTGACTTACAGCCCACATAGAGCATAGGCAAGTGAAACTTCAGTATTTATCAACTTTCATACTCTAATAGTATGGAGGGTGACCGGAAATATCGTCGCCTTGATGAATCAAAACAGCGGTCTAATTCTCCAGAGTATGGATCGTCATTTTCAAGATACTCTGACAATGACAGGAAAAGAAAAAAATATTACGATGGTGGTTCATCATCAAGTTCTCACAAAACTAAAAGGGACAAAATATATCCTAGTTATGAGAGGTATGGTTCATCATCATCAGCGTGTAAGAAACATGAAGAAAGGAGTCACTTTTACAACAGAGATGAACGTCTCAAAAAGACTCAGAGGCAAAGTGTGCACGGTCCAGATTATTCCGACACATCACCTGATAAAAGAGAAAAACTTGACACCCCTGCAGATTTTTCATTCTGTGACTATCGTCGAGAACTAAACAGAGTGTTTTTTTATGAACCCTCTTTAGTTCAGGATGTAGAAGACCTATGGAAATTTGTCAAAAAGTATGAAGCTGTTCAGAAAAAGAAATCTGAATCAAATCAGTCATCAAAAGACAGAGGTAGTTGGCTGAGTTGTTTGGCATTTAATCTTTTGGGAAACTCTTTTGTCAATTTTTATAACATCCAATTCATATCTCTTTCAGGGACAGATCAATTGAATGAACTTGGTTTACCAATGGTCTTCAATAAACATGATCTAGTTAATATTGAATTATCAATTAAAAACCGGGATTTGTGTGCTCGTTTGCCTCCTTATGATCCAGATCTAGATGACAACCAGCTTTCACCTACCCACATTTCTGAATTTAGAAAAATTGTTCAATTGTATTTGGGATTCAAACAGAAAGAAAACTTTCTGAAGCTCCAAAAGTTACGCGAGTCACAAGCCAATTTACCTGTGGCTCAGCACAGGTTTGTAATTTGTATGCTTTTTATTATTCATTATTATGGGACGACCAGTGTGTGTAGTTGAGTTTCCTGTTTCCAGAGATGAAATTATTGAGGCTGTGAAAAATGAATCAGTTGTAATCATAGCAGGTGATACAGGTTGTGGAAAGTCTACACAAGTTCCACAATATTTGTTAAAAGCTGGATTCAATAAAATTGGTAAGAATAAGATAAGTTTCTACTTTTTCTAAAATTGGTTTAATATTCACTATATTTTACTTTCTTCTTGTCAAACTAGCATGTACTCAGCCTCGTAGAATTGCTTGTATTGCTCTTTCTAAAAGAGTTGCATATGAAACTTTAAATGAATATGGATCAGAAGTGGGATATCAGATTCGGTTTGAGCGTCGAAGAGACCAACACACCCGAATTGTTTTTATTACAGAAGGTTTACTTTTGAGACAGGTATAACTTTTTTTTGTTTAACAAATACAACTAATTTTGATCATGTATCTATTAATTGTTGAAACAACCATTTTTTTTTTTTTTTTGACTAGATGTCTAGTGATGATTCATTGTCTACTTATGATGTGTTAGTCCTTGATGAAGTCCACGAAAGACATCTACATGGTGATTTTCTTCTTGGTGTATTGAAATGTTTGCTTCATCAGCGGAAAGATCTAAAATTGGTGTTAATGTCTGCCACCATTAATATTAAATTGTTTAGCGACTATTTTGGAGATGTAGCTCGTGTCATACAAGTATGTGTTTGGAGATAATCTTGTATTTCCAATATTTTAGTTGTTGTTGACCTTTAAATGAAAAACACAACTTTCTTCTTAGGTCCCTGGCAGATTGCATCCCATCAAACTTCAATACTTCCCCTTATCTGTTGAGGATAGAGCAACCAAATCTGAACGTTTCAATGCTATGCCATATTTGCGCATCTTGCAGCTTATAGACTCAAAGTACCCCAGTGAGTAAAATTGAAAGCTGATCCATTATGATCTGCTCCTTGTGGAAGATTACACACTTCATTTAGTAATTTGTCTTCACATGGGCGTGTATTTTTTTTTTAAACAATTTAGATGATGAAAGAGGAGATCTTCTTGTCTTCTTAAGTGGAATGTCAGAAATACAGGCAGTTGTTGATGCTGCTAAAGAGTACAACATGAAGAAGAAGACATGGATCGTACTAGCCCTGCACAGTACATTATCGTTAGCAGAACAAGACAAGGTACATAACTTCAATTAAATCTCAGACAGTTACACCTATTTTATTTTCCTGGAAAACTGTAATAGGTTTCCTTGTTTAATTTGGGAAATATTTGCATTTTAAATCAGGTTTTTGACTATGCCCCAGAGGGTACACGGAAATGTGTGGTGTCAACAAACATAGCTGAGACATCCATTACAATAGACGGTATACGCTTTGTAGTAGATTCAGGAAAAGTCAAAGAAATGAGCTATGATCCAGTGAACAAGATGCAAAGGCTGAAAGAGTTCTGGATCAGCAAGGCAAGTGCTGAGCAAAGAAAAGGTAGAGCTGGTCGCACTGGTCCTGGTGTGTGCTTTCGACTTTATTCAGAGGAGGAATACCAAGCACTTGAAAAGTACTCAACTCCAGAGCTACAAAGAGTTCCTCTTGATTCTCTTTTACTACAAATGGTTTCTATGGGTCTCCCTGATGCCCGTAAATTTCCATTCATTGAACCTCCACCTATGGAGCGCATAGAAAATGCAATCTTGTCTTTAAAGCAACAGGTTAGAATATTGTTTTCTATTAAAATATGTCAATTGTATTTGTGAAGATAAAAGTACTACTCATAATTACAGGGTGCCCTTACTTCATGTGAAAAGTTGACAAGCATGGGGAAAATGCTGGCTCGTCTACCTGTTGACATTCCCCTTGGCAAAATGTTAATCATGGGGTCACTTTTCCATCAGGCACAACCTGTGCTTTCTCTTGCTGCTGCCTTGTCTGTTCAAACTCCATTCACCAACCGAGCATTCCGTGATCCTGAGTGTGAGGTACAACACATCTAAGTAGTTCTGTTTGTTATGATGAAATATTTTTCTTTTTCTTGCATTGGTCAACATTTCTTTGTTTTACTAGAATGCCAGAAAATCTCTTGAATCAGATCATGGAGATCCTATAACCCTCCTGAATGCATTAAGGGAATGGTTAGAGGAAAAAAACCATAGCAGAGGTAGTGATAGGTCAGGAACTAGGATTTGGTGTAAAAGACGTGGATTAGAGGAGCAAAGATTCTATGAAATGACAAAACTTCGCACTCAGTTCAAAGATTTGCTTCAGGTAGAGTCTTTAAATATTTTAAGCATCCATCAATTGAAACCTATAACATAATTTATTTTAATTGTTTTGCTCAGGATTGTGGGCTACTCAAGGACTTAGAACAACCTAATGAAAAGATGACTAGTAGTGAAAGAGCTATGAGACATGGTGAGCTCAAATTATTGCGCTCTATGAAGAGAGAATACCAAAATGCAGCTCCACGTAAGCGGACTTTACTCAAAGTGGATCCATTTGAAGTGTGTGGAGAAGATGAAGAAAAACAAGGGGTTGATATTAAGGATGTAGAATTCCGAATGAGGAATGATTCTAACCAAGTACAAGTATGTTCATGCCAAGAGTTATTTAAATTCCTAAATTCTAGGAAAGAGTGAATGAATTGATATTAAGCTTTATGGTTTTGTAGAGTCTTCTCACAGGATCGTCAGCTTGTAGCTATAAAGATTTAATGATGTTGAAAGTGATTCTTTGTAGTGGACTCTACCCTCAGCTTGCTATTGCTGATGAATTTAACTACTGTAAGGTAAGGTATTTTTGATTGACATATTTAGAATAATCTTGTTAGCTAGCTATGAAACTACAATGATTTACATTTCAGACAACTAGTGAACAACTTTTTCACACACAGAAGAAACCTTATGTTGCACTTCATCCCATGAGTGTGTTTGGGAATAATCCAAAAACCTTGCAGTTAGAAGATTCAGAAATTGTAACAATAGAGGGTAAAAGAAGCAAACAACCCTTCTCAGCAAAACACCAGTTAATTTCTTACATGTAAGTCAACTATAGAAAAAATATGGATCAGCAGTTAGTTTGCAGTACTTATTTATTTTTGTACCCCCCCCTTTTTTTGTTTGTTTATAGGACCCTTCTTGAAACAACCAAACCTTACCTAATGAATACAATGCGTATGCCTGCTGCACAAACACTTCTCTTATTCTCCCAAGACATACATACAAATTTTAATCTCTCAAGGCAAGTGTGTATTAATTTAAAAATTTGTTACTATCTATCAGGATACTACCTACAGGCTGTAACACTATAATACTTGTTCCATTTCAGGCTTGTCTGTGACTCATGGCTTCAGCTTGATTTTCCTCTTCCATTGGCTGCAGAAACTTTACTTATCAAAGTAGCCCATATTCAGTATCTTTGGGAAAAGTTGTTGCAAATGAGACTTGAAGGTAATTCCACTGTTTACAATGTTGTGGGTTTTCACATGGTCTCAGGTCAGGATAACAATCTAATTGTTAGTTGCTTTACTTGTTTTTCTTAGATAAAGAGACTTATATTTTGGAGAGGGAGTTAACTGAAGAGATTATTCTTTTCATGCGCTCTGAGGTGGTTTATTCAATCAAGAGATTACTGGCAGCAGATTTGAAAGTAATGTATGTGGGCATGGGTTACAATGAAGAAACAATCAATCCTAATCCTTTCCAAGAGGACTTTGAAGCACACCCAAATGCATCCATAGGAGGAATGCAAGTGACAGCTCGTATCACATACAATTGGTTAGTGACTTAGTCAATCAATTACTATAAAATATTTGCTATTTGGCTCGTAAAATTGTGTAGCATTTTGGCCAGAGCTTTTCAATGTTTTTTGCATCATTATTCATTCTATCTTTAAACAGCAAACTGTTGTTTTAGAAAGAATATCTATCTTTTTATTTTCATTGTCTAGCTTGTTGGAAACATCTTTCGATTCAAAAGCATTAGAAGATGAGTGCCCCTGGCGTTGTGACCATTGCGAAGAGACCTTCAATGTTTCACCAGTTCAAAGACTGCAGCATCGACAAACTTGTAGAAAGACTGATATCAAAGGTCCTTTTAATAATCTGATTTTCATTGGTTTGATTTTGTCAAGTCTTGTACATTTGTAGCATAAAGGTCTCTATCTTCAATTTCAGGTGATGATGTTGTCTCCCAGGAACCATTGACTCCCCGGAAGCCAAACTCAAAAGCTTTTGAATGTTCTGATTGTAAGCGTACTTATTATTTTACCCCTGTAGAGATCTTAAAACATAAGAAGCAACATGCAGCAGGGCCATCTTCAACTTAATTTTTTGTATCAGTTGGTGTGAAGTTGTATAAGGGCAGGGCAAACATCTCCATTAAACACAGTTTTACAACAAATTTTTATATGTATTTTATTTTGTGAGTGTAAAGCCTAAGCTAGTAAAATGAATTGACATGACTAAAAGTACAAGAATAGGTCAGGGTCATTTGACACCATTCACTCACCATCTTACCCTCTACAACAGTATGCAAAGTCAGAGGAAAAGATTTTTTTTTTGTCCCTTTTCATACAATTATTTAGTTTTTTTGTCATATGAGAAATTTCTTGTACTTCACCATTATTCTCACAATCCCCTATAAATTCTCTGAAAAAATCTTAATAGAAATAGAACAATAACAATAACATTAAACAATGCAATACAAGAAACAACATCTTTAACCAGTCATAGATAAGCAGTAGCATTCTCTAATTTCCTCTGAAGTGCTCCTAGCATTTTTATGCAAGAAGGAACCAACAAAAAAGTCAAAATAGGGGCTCAAAGTAAAATAAAGTGGCAACAGTGTAAAATTGCTTCAACCATCTGACACCAAATTTTACACTTTCAAAATAAATGCAAAACAGCAAATTTCTTTGGTGTAAGTCATTCTTGAGCAGTGAAACCAGCATCTCACTGGACAACATGACCAGCAGACCAAATGATATCTTAAAAAGATGCTTTTGTCTAGCAGGCAAGTGTAGATTTTATTGCTTTGAACATCATTTGCTCAAAATGATTTTAGCAAGAACGAACAACACTAACTTCAACTTTTCCTCATTTATACGAGATAAGCTGGTAGCTACTGTCTTACGAGTGTACTTTAAAATATAAAATAAAAAAAAACTATGCTACTTTTCAAACAGTGCTATTTGTAAGCAAAGTGATAAAAAGCTTTTTTCTGCAATAGATTTCCATGCTGCAAAAAGAGATTTTGACTGTAAATCCCTACATCCAAAGTTCTGTGTATAGAAAGTAACCTACACCACTTTGCCATGTGATTATAAAAGACACTTGAAATTAGCAAAAAGTAAAGTAATTATGAATCACATGCATGCATCACAACAGTCTCAAAAATATTGGGCTGAGTTAAACTGCTCTCACATAAGCATATAGAAGCTTAACTTCCATTAAAAATACTTACTGTAAATGTACATTATAAAAATTGCTGACTAAAAGGGTGAATTGTTTGAACTTGCTCTCAGTCACATATATATGTGATAGTGTGTCACATAAAATATGCACTCATAGTGCATTGAGGAAATAACATTTTCAAAGTTTAAAGTGAATTTCTAGTTTGACATGTCAATAAGAGATATTAGACAGTTTAATAAAAAGAGAACTAGATATCTGACTGCAGCTTAATCTCAACCAGACTAGTTCAGGCTGAGCTACATCTGAATTGTTCCGAAAAGGAAACACTACAATTTTCTACAAATGTTCCCTTAGCATCTAAATTTCAACAAAGAAAATTTTTTGAAACAAAATTATCAGAATGGAAAGGAAGGGGTTGGATAATTTTCCGTGTGCCCCATAAATGTAATTCTAAATAAACAAAAATGTGAAACACTAAGAAACCAATTGCCATGTGACCATCACTACCAAACATTTACATCTGATTTAGAACACACTAATAACACACCAACTGCCTTTCAAAACAGCAAAAGAATAGCTATAGAAGTGTCTGAGCAACAAAGTACATATGACGACCAGAGATTCCAGTACAAAAGTCAAAGAAAACTAAACACTAGAACACAATTTTGAAAAGGTTTTGTGCATTTGCCTAAACTAGCACAAAAAATAAAATTATTTCATTTCTCACGATTAAACTAAGGAAATGCACAGCGTAACAAAGTCTCATTAGATCAAACTACAAAACATACATACATTAGAGATATGAAGGGACAACAATAATAAACATGAGAAATCTTGATACATGTCATTAAACCTTCACTAAACTCAATAAGAATGTAAAAGGTGGCAAAAACTGATTGTAAATTTTCATAATCAGTCGGAGGAAGGGAGATGTTTCTGTCAGTATTCTGGCATTACAACCGAAATTGTTAATTTATTCATCTTCTACAAAGGAAAATTAATATAAATGTCTCTTTCATGATAATTTTCAAAAATCACGTATAAACTACAATTGAATGTAAAAGTCATCTGCACAATGATTCCAGACTTATTTGAGCTTAACATCCAGCTCAAAAATAGCACCATACCGTTAATGATAGGTAAAGGGATTGCCTGAAACAAAACTTTGTTAAGGCGATTTTCAGTTGAAGGCAGAAACACCGCAAGGGGGGAGGGGACAAACTGGGAGACAAGTTCATTACTAACCAACAAACCAGCTAAAGGCTAATTTGACTTGTACTTTACAGTACATTATGTTACATACAGGGTACCTTGAGAGAGGAAGATCACCTATTAATAAAACGAAAGCTTACCAGCACATAAGAGTGATTTTGATACATGGTTTATATTTGCAGCTACTACAATCAGTACTTAATTACAAACGCCTGATTATAATTGAAATTTTGGAACATGCAGGTAGGGTGTTGAAAGGTAATGGGTACTAATATGGTGCCATTGATGAGGGATGAGTAATGGACATACGCAAATCAGAAATTGTAGTGATTATCAACATTTAAATATGTTGTACAATTTTGTTAGTTTGAAAATTTACTTGAAGCTTGTATACCAGAATGCCTTTTATTGCTCTATTCTCAAAAAAAGGGTTTTTAAATTATTTTTTTTTTATAGAGACCTTCACAAGGAGGGAAGTCAGGACTCACATACACCTGCTCCTTATAAACCCTGTAGATGACCACAACTAGAAAGTGTAGTCTCCTTAAATTTTACAATTTTGTTGGCAGTGCAATTTGTACGCCTAGCATTAATTCATCATGATCATGACAAGGAATACATTGCTTTACTTAAAGACTAGAATGTTGGAAGCATATAGGTAACTAAAAGTACCCCCTTGAGTGCCCAAAACTACAATTTTCATCACAAACCAATGACTAATCTACAAATTTTGCTAGCTCCCCAAACACAATAAAAAATTTGAGTCAAAAATGTAAACTGGCTCATATCTGAAATAGCTACTGTATTATTTTTTTTAAAGAAACGGAACAACCACAAAGATTTAATAGTTACAATGTGGTAGGTACCTCAAGTCAGTAAGTATCTAGCTAAAAAGGTTCAGAGTATTGATCTAAAACTAGTACCTGGAATATTTTTCATCTAGAACAGTCCTGTTTCTTACAAACCGACAGGAAAAACTAGCGAACCAAATCAGGGAGCTTGTGATAAAACTTAGCAAAAGAAAAGAAGAAAGGTATTGGAAGGTTTTTTCTTGAAAAATAATGGATGATGAGTTTTATAAATGCAGTTTAGCAGCTTAATAAATAAGGTTGAGCTATGAAACCACCATAATAGGTTTTTAGTTCCATTGTATGGCAATAAGCCAAACTTATTCTTACCACAAAATTCTAAACAAACATAACTCTAAGTTTGAAAAATATTGCTCATGAATATATGTACTTTACTTTGAAGTTAAAATTGGTGACTTTATTTACAAAGTTATGTCTATGGTCTGTCCTCAGATTCAAATGTAAAAATATGGCCTAGTCAATGAATCAGCAAATTCAAAATTCATCTATAGTTACATATTGAGTTGTATTTTGCTTCTCTTGTTTTAAATTGGCAAAAATTGTGGAGAGATTAAAAAAAAAAGCATCAGGATGCATTCAGTCCAATTACCTTATTATCAATGATGTTGAAATAAGATACTGGACTCCTAAAACATTTGAATAAGAAATGCTCAGCGAATTAATAATTAAGTGGAAGGAGGAAGATTGTAAATTGAACAAGAACAGGTGGCAAGTTTAAACCTACATCAAGGGAGAATTTATTAGAGCATAGAACATCTCCTGTAGAAAAAGCTGCTGCCAGAACAGCAGGCAAGCTCGGGTCATTGACCAAACAGTGCTTCAAATGAGTTGTGAATTTGATCAATCATGTCAGTAACAAGCATGCTTCTTCCATGGATACTGAACGCTCTTCTATTGCATTCCTTAGTGAGGCGACATGCACCATAAGATGCAACAACCATTCTCTGGGATGTTATTTCAGGAAAAATCTTACATTCCACATCCCTCCCAGCAACAAGGGCCCAACAGAGAAATGTACCAAGACTTCCAGAAAGAAGGTCACCTTGACCACCACACCTTCTTCCAGAACCAGCTCCCGTTGCAGGAAGAATATGGTGGGGACTTGCTACAAGATCCTGTGAGCCTTTAAGAACTATTACCGTCCTAGGTCCCAAACAACTAGCAAGAGCCATTAGGTTGTCAGCCTTTGATTCAGGAGCTGGAGACCAAGACTCTCTGAGGATGGAACTAGCAAGGCGGGTAAACTCCACAGCATTGGGTGTGAGTACAAGTCCCCCGGGATAATCTACCACAAGCTCTGGTTGCTCTGTTATTAAGTGAAGGCCATCTGCATCTATAACTAAGGGTTTCTTCTGGTCTACAGTATTATGTCGACAATGGTCTATAATGCAAGCTACAGTATGAAGCACTTTAGGATCTCTCCCCAAGCCTGGTCCTATGACAAGCACATGAAGACGAGACAAGACAGGCTTTATGTAGGAAATTGCATTATCCAAGTCTAAAACAGGATGTACAATTAACTCAGGACTGTAAGATTTTATAACAGGCCCTGCCTCTTTGCAACAAAATACATGAGACAAATCACAACCAACTCGCAATGCACTAATAGCAGCAAAATATGGAGCCCCAGAATATTCCATAGAACCACCTATGACACCAATTCTACCAGCTTGTCCCTTATGGCGATCCTCTGTAAGATTGGGTACCATAACACTTGCTTCATTGAGAAGCTTTGCTTCTAATCTTGAAGATCCTCCTGGAGAGCCAGGGATTGAATCCATGATAGAAGAAAGTCTGTGACTTACTGACAGTGCAGAATTAGTCAAACAGTCACTTCCAGTACCAGATGTTTGTAGGATTGGTTTGCACCATCCTAGTGCCTTGCGCAATGTGTTAGCCTGTAAAACAATTTAAGAGATATGTATCACTCATCAAAATAGCAGATCCTTTCATAAAAATCTGACCTATGGGCACTGACTTGCAAGTTTAACAACACCACTGTTTCACGTCACAACCGATATTTTGAGACTTACTATTAGTACAACTTTACAATTTTACTTTATTTAAAACAGTGTGAGAAAGCAGGAAGGAAATTATCAAATCAGATGACAAAAACTTAAAAATTGTAATGGAAATTCCCATCACTATTGAATTCAAATGGGTTGACATGGAAACAAAACATTACTTGAAAAGATAAAGGCAACAATGAGTTCCTTGCTGACTAAAAACTCTCTGCTATAGATATTGAGAAACAAATATTTCATACTGATTAATTCGGAAATAGAAGAGCATGAAAACATCTAACTTAAAACTTAACCTACAAGTCAACAGAGATCAATGATGTAAACTGGAGATTTGGAATCTCTCTAAACATTTAAGTCAAAGCCATACCAGTTCTGTTTACAGCTAGGTCCCAAATTAATGCAAGTTCCTTTTGTCGATTGACAAAAGAGCCATTAAAACTGATAAAAAGCTACACGTATTAGCAGAAATAACGATAGCAGACGAGAATATTTTTCTTAACCATGGTGAAGTCAGGATTGGAAACTTGACGGTGTCAAAAGTTACATTTTATTTCTTGGTATCGAAATGAAATGTCAAACTACATAAAACCTAAAAGAAATAAAATGAAATTGTATCTTTGATTGCATTCCAATGGTTGAGAAAAAAAACTGTGGCATGATTCCTGAGTATGAGTTGCGATTTGGGTTTTAACTGCCGGTTGGTATACCTGCCGCAGATGTTGAGGGACGGAGCGGAAAATTCAATTGATAGATCAGGACAGAACATAAGTTGATCTCAAGAGTTGCTACTTCAGAAAGCCGCCCTTTCACAAGGTGGATGGTTGATGAAGTTCCATTCTCGTGGCTCGCTATCAGCTGAGGGTCGTCAACGAAAAGGAATGAAAGAAATTGGGAAAACAGTCTTTATTTTCAATTCAATAAAAATAAGAGGGCAGCAGGACGCAGCAGCACAACGAAAAGGAATGAAAGAAATTGGGAAAACAGTCTTTATTTTCAATTCAATAAAAATAAGAGACAAACATAAATTATAAGAATTATTTGATCCCTACACAGTACATCCATTATATGTCCCGCAATTATTGCATGAAAACAATCTCTGTTCTACATTGATGAGGGTTAAGTTCTCATATGTTCAGAATCTAAACGAAAAACCAAAAATAGTTTAACAATCAATCATACGTAAACTTAAAGTCTAGACAACATAGGTGAATATTGTAAGATTTGAGTGGAAGCCCACCACAAACCATACTTAAACAAATACAAGCTGTGAGTTTCCTTGAGAAAGCCAAATTTGACTCATATGGATTAATTTTATGAAAGAAATGTCATGCTTAGGTCCGCTGACTACTGAACTTAAACAAACCCACTATGAATACAAAACATAAGAAATTTTTCAAAAAAGAAAAGTGAAAAAAATAAAATAAAAATCCTTTTTATCTACTACACTGAAATGGAGAAAGTGGTGGAAGAAGATATGCCACATAAATGACAATTTTAGATTTTACACTATGAAATACAGCATAAGAAGTACAAAATGCGCAGCAAAGTTCAAAAACATATCAACATGCAATGGGCAATAGCAGTGATTGACAGAAACCGGTGCTACACAAAAATAAAAATATGAGTGTATTAAAGACAACAATGACTAGAAATTACAAAAATTAAAGTACATCTTTGAACAGTTGCACTAAGAAAATATAGGGATTCAAAGGGAAAGGGTACTATATGAACAATTCAGAAATTAAGAAACAAAGCTTGTAGACTATGGTGTTATTTCTTCATGCTTTGTTAGATGGAAATTGCAAATTTGCAAATTTCAACATGATCTTGTCTTAGAGGCTGATTAAAAAACACTACCACTAAAATGGTACAGAAGTTAATAGAGCAGATATCTTGGAGGCAAGATACTTAATCATATTATATTACATTTTGACATTTGCTGAAAAGTTGTACTGACTACCCCATACATTGTGGATAGTCACAGGGCTAATGAACATTACAGGGGTCCTAAGCCCCTTGCCCAGTCTAATTATTTAGAAACACCATCTCAAAAAGTGTATTACCTTAATAATAACAACAGGAGGATACTTGATCCCTTTTTGCACACCTGACAAAATCACAAAAATATTTTGAACACCATTAATGGTGGTATAAGTCCTCAAAGAGAATCTAATTGGCATATAAACTTTCTGCTTCATCTGCCCTCCTCCAAAAAATAAAAAGAAAAGGAAAAAAAAACAAAACAAAACAAACAAAAAAATATTTGTATCCGGCATTGGACGGCTTTTAGAAGAAATGCTTAGTAATCATTTTTGAAGCTGAGGAAATAAAACCTCATTAACCATAGAAAATTATGTCAGTTGTATGAACATCATGTAACAAAATTATTGCTTACTTATTGCATAAAATTACATCATATACCCTCATTGGTACCCTTAAACTTTCAAAACCTACAAAAGTTACGCTTCATTTGAACTATTAATTAATCAAATTATGATCTATCAATAGCCCAAGATAGGCCTTCAAACAAATATAACATTTTGAAAGAAACCTACTAGGAAGGAGGTATTAAAAAAGGAGTAGAAAATTAGGAGATGATGAGGAAAGCAAAATGTGCTACAAATGATTTGAATTCTACTACACAGCTACACAAGTACTGCAGTAGCAGACAATAATGCAGTTTCTTTCGATCACAGATATTTTCACCTTTTTCAATACATTGTGAGCAGTAGCAACATTCATGGTGCAAGAGTTGAACGTTCATGTATATTTCTAAACCTCAAAATAATGTTATTTAAAATAACAACACACACTTACTAAATCACATATGTGTAAGGCGTCAGTTTTTCTATCCCCACAGAGTTTAGAAACCAGAAAAAATTTGGCGCTAAGTACACAAACACCAGAAAACTATTTGATTAGGTAATTGAAACATTGTGTTTTTTCAAAGTCACTATAGCCAGCCATGGAACATGTAGAGCTATCCAACACCTTGAAAATAAAAGCTATCACCAATATACCTATCAAGGAAATAGATGTTAAGAGGTATGAAGTTTGAGGAGACAATAATATTCTGTAAAATCTAAAGAGGGTAAAACAAATCAGTGCAGCAAAGCAAAACCCATCTGAAATCAACTTGTTTTACTCATAATTGCTACACATGAATGGTGCAATTTGAAGTTTTCATTTAAGAGAATGGTAGAGTTCTTTCAAGGTTCTGCCACACATTTTCTACTTATACTGGGTGCTGCAGCTAAGCACTCTGCTTTATTACACAAAATAAAATCCAGGGCATTTACAAATTCTTTGAATAGAGGTAACAACTTCAGTGAGGTTTTCTGGTTTAACTTTTACCTTTTTTAAATCTTTGCCTTGCTTGAGCCTTTGTATATCGTGGTGTTCTGTCCTTTGGTGCACCACCTCCTTCTTCTTCATCAGCTTCAGCCTGCCCTGGTTTAGTCTCTTCTAAATTGATATTGAACAAAGGCTAGATGAGACACTATGCTGTTAAAGAGCCATAAATTGTGATGATTTCATAGATACTTGCCTGGTAATAAATCAATGGGAGGCTCAAGTAAGGATTTTCTTTGACATTTGATATAGTACCTGATACCTTTGGCAATGGCAAAACCAACAAGTGCTATAGATATGGTCAAAAGTGCCATAACAATTGGATGCTGGAAAAAATAGATAACCAGTTGATTATAGAAAACTGTGGAGCATTCCTTCAAGTTTTTCGGCACTTACTGTTAATGTTGGTTTAGGAGCAATTGTTTGGTCAGATATGACAATGACAACCCCAATTATAATACCAACTCCAGCTCCAAGCCAGGGGATTTGCTCATCAGCTGCAACATCAAAGACAATGGTTAGTGAGAAAATCTTTAACGTGCTGAGTGCGGCAGGGAAGGCAATACTGTGTTGTTGGCACCCACAGTGTGGGGCGCGCCGCACTGCACATGTTCAGAAGTGAATAAAAAGGTCAGGTAACAGCACTTTACATACCTCTACGATCCCTCAACCAGCCTTGAGTTGTTTTAGTAAGGGCATGGCGAATGTTAGGATCATCTCGCTGCCTTGCTAGTGCCTTTCCATATGAGGAAAGAGCATCTGAAAAGTGGAATGTTGCAAATTCCACCTCACCTTTACGAAAGTAGCCCTGTTGACGAGTGTAGAATATATTTCACTATGAGATTCGATTACATAGGTGGATCCATGAACAAGATGAAATTGTATTGTAGCATTTACCTTGGCCCATTCTGGAGCAATTTTTATGGTCTGTAATGCATCTGTCATGGAAAAATAATGCTGTTCCATTCTCAGAAAAGCAAGTGATCGGTTACTGTAAATTGAATAATTCATTGGATCTAACTTAAGGGCATGTGAATAGTGGAAAATTGCCTCCTCATATTTTCCTTCTCGCACACAGGCATTGCCCTTTTCTTTGAGTTTTATGACCTGAAAAAACAAATACAAGCAACAACTATTAAACTTTTATTTTCTTAAATAAACATTGGTTGTCTACAATGTCATAGCAAATATTGTTTGCCTCTGGGAAGATATAAAGTATGTCATAAAACGTCCAAGAAATGAAAAAATTGAGATGGATACTAGTGCGTCACTTGAAACACTTAATTAATGAAAGGAAGTGATAAAAAACTGATACTATAAACAAAACAGATATAGGTTAAGGAATGGGTTAGGTACGGTTCACAACACCTTACAACAGGTTAGTCCGTGTTATATTTAGGTACTACTACAGAACTGCCGTCTAAAGATAAGAAGGCCAGATACGAGTCGTTTATCGAACTCTCATAAGAGAAAAGGATGAATGAATAATAAAGCTGATGCAGCCGGTCTGCATTCATGAGAGAACACGACTGCCTGAGAGAGAATAGACAAGGATACTGCACAGGCACAATTGAGTGAGACTGGTCATATGTAGTTCAAAGAGTGACTATAGTGCAAGATCACTCTTTTCTCACAAATCTTAAATAACTTAATCAATTGACAACAATACCGTTTCAGCTTTGGGCCCTTCCATTGTAAATATTTCTGTGTCATTTCCGTTAACGCCTTCTATACACAGGTGATTTGCTAATTCTCTCGAGTGCTTTTCTTCCTCCTTGTTTTCTTCTACAATTCATCGGCAAATTTAAAAAAAACAGAGATAACTGCCTAGAAACGTACTCTCGTGTGGAGATATCATATTTTTGTATCGCTGTCAACTTTTTTGTCGTAAATGTATGGCTTCTGTGCGGGAAATAGGGATTATCTGTTAAAAACCATCTCACATTTGAAATTTGAAGTTCCCGCTGAACCAAAGTAGTAGTCAGAAGTAAGACGTTAACATTTAAGAAAATTAAATACTTTAGACTCACTGCTCGTGTTTTGCTAGTAGAATTGAAACTAAAAAAAACAAGAACTTTAAAACCAACTCTGTTCAGTGAATCAATGTAGTAGTGAACAAGTTTTTAAAAGTAGCTGATCTGATAGTATAACCAGACGTCAGCTGTTCTCGGAGTCCAAGCGTCAAGTTAGACAGAAATGGCTGCGCTGGTGGCAGGTGTAAAGTATGGGTTGTCATCGCAAGAACCCAATTTTCAGGATAAATCTTTAATTTTTGTAAAACTCACAGACTCAGCACTTAGAGCAATAGAAGAGCATCTTAAAAATGCGGTAAGTACATTGAGAGATTAAACTTTGAGCCTGTAAACAATGATTGTTGAGGAGTGGTGGTCCAACGTTTATTTTAATGTCGCCATATTTTACATTTATCAAGTCATTGTAGAGCGTAAAGCTCAGTTGTAAGGTATTTTCTATTGTAAACTAATCTGAATTCATCATGTCAATGCTTCAAAAACCCCGATAAAGTTGAAGGTGTCGGAGATTTTACCAATAATATAGCTCGCCACGTCAACAGGCCGAACAGAAATTGCGTTCGTATGATTGATCTTTTTGGAAATTTCATTTGAATCTCCTGATTTTGCTTCGACTGAGTTCGCATTATTCCTGTGTGCTCGGAAAATCGCGTTTTCAAAACGCAGCAACTCCTAAAACGGTGAAACGTCAAGTTGTCCCGTCATGTCTCGAATGTTTCTTGTAGTTTGAGGTTCATTTTTTAAGTTTTCAAATTATTTTGATATTAAGTTCCAATAGTACAGGAGCGAACTATCTTTTGATTTGTTCGTGGTTGCATTTCTGATTCATTATTTTGTAGTGTTGTGATCATTATCTGGATTACTACAGCCTTGTCATGCTGAAAACGATTTCTTTTTAGATACAACTTATATTTTTCCCAGAAATGTTATATTTTCTGTTTGAATTTTAATGAAATCAGATTAGAATAACTGCTGCTGTTTTGTACAATTAGTGTAAAAAATTTCAAGGAATTATTATGTCCTCATTTGGCTACCCAATGTGACCTAGCTTGTTCTTTTGAAATTTTCAAAGTCAATTTATAACACATTTTTTACAATTTCATTCCCAGTTCTTGCTGTCTTTCTGATGTTCATTGTTGAATGTTTTAAATTAAGTTTTTATGAAGCTGTAGGACTTGAGAATGTACTACTTCTCAAATGACGTCTCTGTCATGCAATAACTAGGTTAACTGCTCGTACAACATCGTACTTTATGTATTTCCGTTTTGGTTTGATGTATCTAGTAAATTTTCACTTATTTGAAGATAAGTTATTGTCTAATCACATGGTTTAATGAACTGATACACAACTGGGATGAATAATGTGTATGTTAAAGCATAAACTGAATTTAAACTTGAAAATTATGCAGAAAAATGTTGAAAACTATTGTGCACACATTCAGCTGCAACCCATTTGTTCTATTTTAAATTAGGGAGCCGTACAAATTATTGGGTAGCCAAGTTTTAAATTAACCTTGTTGAGGTTCAGTTTTGTCATAAGGTAGATGCTACTAAGACTGTGAGTTACATTGTGATTTATGTGAAATATTTCAAAATAGCTAAGATGCAAGAAATAATGAGTGATTCAACAATTGTGGTACCTCTTTACACAACCCCTCCATCTGGTTTGTGTGAAAATACCATCAAGAAAGCATAACCTTGGATACATCATTGATCATCTGTGAAGTGAATGTGTGCTGTTTTTGGTGCTTCAGTGATAAAGTGAAAGTGTGCACCGCAAAATGGAATTTGAATATATATTCAAGTGGAATTTATTTGTGAAAGTGAAGTGATAAAGTGATTCGATGGTGATCATGCCATTTAATTGGATACCGAGGATATACTACAAAGTGCTTGAAGAGTAATGGATTACCTTGAAAGAAGACCATCACCTGGATTGCACAACATGAAAGGCTACATATCTCAACAAGAAATGTGACGGTCAGGTAGTAAAAGTGAACCATACGATGAGTGACATTACATCTAGCTAAAGTCATTGGTGTTTTGTTTTGAGCACAATTCTCAAAACATATTTTTCCAACCAAATTTGCAGTTTGGGTGTCCTTGTACGTTTCAGTCATAATCGTCTCGGCTCCTTGTTTTGTTACCATCTATATTTTATTTATCCTCTTTTCCACATTCATGTGGCCTTGAATGTTGTGGATGTTTGCAGACCATGATAAACTTCTCCATTGATTGATGCTTGGAAATATTTCCCCTTGTTTCAATTTCATTGATGATTCATTAAGTACTCTTATCTGAGTGGCCGCTACACTCAGTCAAGGGCAAGGACACCACGTTGCACAGCTTTCATTAATCGTTCTCAAAATTGTTCTATCTGTGCTTTTATTGTATTGAATTTCTATGATGTCCCTTTGTTTCTTGTTAGCCAATGACTAAGGCAAAGAGTGGGTAGGAGCGTAGGAGGTAAGGCTGTCGAATTGCCGGACATTTGTGTTTTGCTTTGATTCTCGGCACGGCCGTAGTGCTGGTAGTTTCCCTACGCGCACCGCTCTGTTGTCGCGAGTTCAGTTGTGGGCCACTCACGACCCGGGGCGGGCCAGCGCGTAGCGGCTCGGCGTGGTGTGGCATGACACGGTCGGCCCATGGCCCTATCCCCTCGCCAGCCTATCTGCTCGGCCCGACCCGCTCGGAAAATTATCACGGGCCACGTCCGTCTGGCACATCTCCGGATGGATGCGGAAACAGGCCGAAATAGCTGGGCTGGCGGCCCCTCGGCCCCGCACTGAGCCCTGCCGCGCCGCGGGGCCCCTGCCTGTGTATGTAGGGCAGCACTTCGGCAATGACGCCGAAAGGTGCGAGGGAGCGTCTCGTCCCGCTGAGCTTAGTTGGCGTGTAGCTTTAACGTTTTATTTTCTATTTCTTTTTCTTTTGCGTCTGTGGCCAAGCGTGTGGCCCAAAGCCGGGCCGAGAGGCCAAGTGCGAGGCTGGCACCCTGCCCGGCACCCTGCCCGGCCCGGACAGGGAGCGACACACCCCGCGAGTTTGTTCGGCGCACTCGGGGTGGTGGACAGGGCGGGAGTGCTCGGGAGGGAAGGACAGTTGTTGCCTCCGCCCAGCCCCGCCCCACCCTCGGCGCCGGACCGCTGTCACCTCCACAGCATCGGTTTGACGAGCCATTGCCCCTGCCACCGTTGCGCGCATGCGGTGCTCCGATTGAACTGTTGTGGACAAGGAGAGGCAGGCGTCCGCGTTCCAAATAAAGTCTTTTACTAAAGCACCCCGCCCTGCGCCCCGCCCTGCGCCCCGCCCTGCGCCCCGCCCCACCCTGCACCTAGGACTGTGCCCCGCGCCCCGCCGAGCGTTCTTGCTGGACTGTATACGCCCGTTACGTCGTGGATACACTTGCCTGGGCTTTGCAACCTCACCCTGGAGAAACAGGATGAACTGAGGGCGACCTTGGGCGTGCCGTACTCGTGTGGCCCCAGGCAGGGCCAGTGGCGGGGAGGGGCGGAGCAGCAGTGGCGGAGGTATGCGGGGCGAGGTTGCGGGCCGGGCAGAGCCAGTGGCGGAGCCACCGGCCTCGCGGTCCATCAGCAGCGATTTGTACTTCCCCCGCCCGGCCAGCCCGGCCCCGGCCAGCCTGGCTGCTTCAGCCCCGCTGGCTGGAGACCCCCCCGCGGGGCCCTAAACGCGGATCGCGCCCGCCTTCGGCCGCCTTCGAGGTCGCGGGCCGAGGTGTAGGTACATAAGCTGTCGAACGCGACCTCGGCCAAGGACAGGCTGCGCCAAGACAAGGGTCTTGATGATAGGGCGGCGAGGTTGCCGTACCCTTCTTTTCAATGATTGTATGGGGCACGGAAATAGTAGGACGGGGGAGTTGCAGCGATCGGGTGGCTTTTCGCCACGGCTACGGCTGCACGACGCCGCGGACGCCTTGGTGGCGGAGGCGGACAAGGTTGACGCCGACGGAGGGCGGCTGGCGACCCCGACGAGACTGCCGACGGCGCCGTCGGGGAGGGTCTCGCGTCGGCCTCTAGGGGCCCACCCGCTGGGCCGTCAAGTTCAATGTCCGCCTGGCCGTAGCCGTTGGCGCCGCCGCCACGGCCCGCTCCGCCCGCTCCTCGCGCGGGGGCCCCGGGGATGTTTGCAAAACGAGGCGCGCGCGGTGTGCGCTCCCGGGCCAAACACGCGCCCCCGGCACCGCCCCGCGCCGC